ACCCATGAAATAAAAATAATTGTTTGTACAGAAAGTAAGGACCTATATGCATCAAATCATCTTTAAATTAAGTAGTGACAAAAGAATTATTGCTGAACTTATAAAAGGTAAGCTTAAATATTAATGCAGTACTTAAATGTAGGTATGTTCAATAATTTGCCAAAAACAAACAGATGAAAAAAAGGGCCCCAAGCTTAACAAAAAGTTTTATCATGAAAAAGTTTAAGAGGAAAGACCAAAGTATTTTTTAATTATTTTTTAAAGTTTTTTTTTATTCTTTTCTATCACATTTGAAATTTTGTTTGAAAATCTGTTTTTTTTAAGGTCAGAGGTTGTGTAATATTTAGCATTAGTTTTTTCGCACTTTTTTCAGTTAAAAAACACATTAATTTGGAAATTCTTGCAAAAATCAAATAATTGTCAGATTTTAATGAAACTTTCAGAACTTATTAAAAAATGTATGAAATTATTTTAGAAATGTTAATTTATTTTTCTTAACATCTATTATCCAAATTTACTTAATTTTATGAAAACTTGAAAATCCCAAATCTGTAACTTGCTACATTTTTTTTTTATGAAATGCAGAAGACTTTGAAACATATAAATCAGTGATTTTTTTTTTTGTAAATTGATGACTGGTTCTACACAAATTTTAGCTCTGAATTATATTATAAAAAAAATCCAATAAAACAAAGACATTAAATTAAAAAAAAGAAGCTTTTAATGGCTTTTCTCAATAACTCATTTTAAGAACATTTTTATCTGAAACCAAAATATTTTTTTTGAGGAAAAATTCACACCTCCAAAACCAATCACCACTGTTAGACATGCTTCTCTTATTTCCTACTTAATTTTTTAGTAGAAAAAATATAGTTATGTTTGTTTCAAATTACATTAAGTATACTTTAAGTTTTCTAATTTTCCTAAAATAACTTTTGAAAAAAGTATAATTGAATTTTACAAGATTTTTAAACAGAGAATTTCACTCTTGTTTACAAAACTGACATGAATGGTTTGACGTCAATTTTGATGACTCAAAAAGATAAAGAAAATTTTTTAGCTAAAATTTCAGACATACTAGAAAGGATTAAATTTTTTTTTTTAAAAATATTCAAAAAATACTTTGGTCTTTCCTCTTAACATAAACATTTAGATGATAAAATTGTTTAATCAAGTTTGGGGCCCTTTTTTCATCAGGGTATGCTCTTTTTTAGTGAAGTTTTGAACATACCTACTTAAATGCAGCAACCAATTTTGAGTTCTTCTGTAATTATTGTTGCCTATTGCATATGGCAGCAGTCTGCTTCGCAAAAAGAAATCTCCACCAAGAGAAGATCAGATTGCAATCAAAAGAGCCAAAGTTGCAATGAGGAAAAGAAAGCCAAATGCAGATGAGAAACCAGATCAAACGGCAGCCAGGAGAGCTTCCAATGCTGAGAAGACTTAAGGACTCTCAAACTCCTGAACAAGCTGATGGCCCAATCAAGGATCCTCCACAGGACATAGCTTAAATGCTGCAGGATTGGGTGGCTTTTAAGCTAGTTGTGTATATAAGACACTTTATTTTTTTTAAAAAAAAGCGATGTGTGTGTGCCTAACATGCTTTCAAATAAAGCAATTTTGTAATCATTTATTTTACTTTGTAATATCATTGAATACTGTCGAGTCAGGCAACATTCATAAAAATAATACTCAACACAAAATGTTCTAAAAACATTTTTCTGACTACCTAGCAATATGATCTTCAGACGACTTAAAACATATATATATAATATAATATATATATATATATAAATAATTATAAATTGATTTAAAATATGTTTTTTCCGCTACACAGTTCTAACCATGTTTCAAAAATATGGTTAGAACTGTGTGAAAAAAAAAACATATTTTAAATCAATTAATTTATAATATTAATGCTCTGTAAATTTACATTGAGCACTATTTTGTAAAAAAAAAAATATCTATAAGAAACACCGGATTATATATCTTACTGTTCTTTCTTTTTATTTATATACATAAAATATATATATATATATATATATATATATAACAAATTTTCGGAATCACAGAATTGTTAATCTTAAACAAAATCTGTTTTTAATGTAATTTTCAATAGGCATGTCCACTTCTTTTGCTAAAAAATGAGCATATCCTGATGAAAAAGGCCCATACTTAATAAAAACAAAGTTTTATCGTGAAAAAGTTTGTTATTAATAAGAGAGCCCAAAGTATTTTTTAATTATTTTTTATTCCTTTTTAGCACAATCGAAATATGGGTTGAAAATCTTTTTTTTTTCCTTTTTGTTTTGTAGTCACCTAATATTTAGCATTAGTTTTTTGTTTAGTGCCTGTTTCAATTGAAAACAGTTTAATGTGGAAATTCTTTCAAAAATCAAATAATTGTTGGATTTTAATGAAACTTTCAAAACTTAAAATAAATTATTTTATTTTAGAAATGTTTGTTTTTTTAGAAACTCATGGTAATTTTTTTCCCATCTTTACACCCCCCACCTTACTTAATTTTATGAAAACTTTAAAACTTGAAACTAATTTTTTTAATTAAAAAAAAGGAAACTTTGAAGAATATGAATCATCACTTTTTTTTTTTGTAAAATTTCACATACATCTACCCAAACTTTAGTTCTGAATTGTAAAACACAAAAACTCAATAAAAAAGACATTATTTAATTAATTAAAAAAGCTTTTTTTTTTTTTTTTTTTTTTAAAATGGCTTTTATGAATAATAAGGACATTTTTGTCAGAAGTCAAAATATTTTTTCAAAGAAAAATAAATTTTTACCAAAATTGTCGTTTTTTTTTTTTTTAATTTTAAAGGCAAAATGTGAAAAAGTTGATAAATGTTTTAAAATTAAGTTTGAAACTGTATCTCTGGAAATGTTCTTATTAAAAGATGTTTTTTGTAAGTACATGAGCAAACACTTGAAGTTAATAATTAATTATTTAAAACAAATACATTCTTTATTATTATTAATAATAAAAAAAAAGAATGTATTATTAAATTTAATTAATAAATAATGAATTCATTCTAGATTTTTCGTCTTTAATTAGTTTTCTTTGTTTTTCAGAAAATCTTTTTTTGTACCCCACCCTCAAAAAATGTTTTACTACGCAAGAAAGTTCAATCTGTAAAATTATTTTACAGTAAAAATCAGAGATGACCGTAGTAAGTGTAACTGTAACTGTATCAATAAAGTTTAAGTTTATGGAAACACATTTTTCCGATTCAGATAGAAAGGTTTAAAAAAAAAAAAAAAAAAAAAAAAAATGCATGAAAACTATTTTTAAAAACGTCTTTTTTTTAAAAAAAAAAAGTTTTTTTTATTAGTGGATCAGTAATGCTGATTTTGTTACAAAACCGGCATTACTTACTTCATCATTTGATGAAAACTAAAAAGACAGAAGATGTCTTTTAGTTTTCATCAAATTATTAGTAATGATATTTCATGTAAAAGAAGAAATATTTTCAAAAGTCATTGTGGGCGATAATTACTGTCGGAACATTTAAAAAAAAACGAAAAAAGCAAGAAGCATGATGGACAAGAAGTTTTTTAAATTTCGATATTTGACCAGAGGCCGGAACATGAATTTTTAAAATTAATTTTTTAGTCGAGGAAATTAGTGTCCGAGGAATTAACAACCATCTCTGCACAGAATGGAATCGTCAAGAAGTTTAAAAAAGAAAAAGTAGATTATCAAAATATGGTCACTTGTTTCTTATCTTTAGTAGCAACAAAGTAAACAATAGTTTTTTTTTACTTTGTTAAAGGGTGGTCCAAAGGTCTTGTCACCGCAACATGATTTTTCTTTTACAGATGGCTGACACGAAAAATATGGGTCTTCTTCTTCATACAGAGCTTCTCGATGTGTGACAACCTCAGTGAAGTTGAATAAACTGAATCCAGTACATGTGCTTTCTATTACTGTCTTCCATGTTCTTAGATTGTTCTCTTTTTCTATTTTTTTTTTTTTTTTTGGTAGAGGGTGACAAGACTTTCGGAACACACTGGTGTACACCAGGAATTAAAAAATGTTCAGATTTTTTTTTTTTTTATTAAAGTTTCTTTATTTTTCTGGAAACTTGAACAAAAAAAGAAAAAAAAAAAAGATATCAATTTGAAAACTAAAAGAAAAATTAATGATTTTGATTTTTAAATTCACAAAAAAGGAGGGATAAAAAAAAAAAAAACATCCTAAAAATTTAGTTTTTTTTTTCTTTAAACCCCAAAATCCAGCTCTTGAACAAAACTACTTACGAAAAGGCATCACCGCCTGAAAACATGAACCCAAGAATTGATTAAGATTTTTTAAAATTCTTGATAGAGACAATTTTTTGGGAGGGTTAAAATTTGTAGACATTCTTTTTAAATTCAAATAAAAGGCGCATTTTTCTAAAACTTTTCCTATATTTTTTTTACGTTTATCATAAGCGAATGATTATAAAAAGTTTTTTTAATTGCTACAAACTCGATTGTAAACAAGAAAAAAAAATTTATGAAATTTCAAATAACAATATTATTTTTTAAGTCAATAATCTGAAAGTGTATATTTTTAATAAAAGTTAAATTTTGCTTTTCAATTTTAAAAAATATACTTTTTTTATCTTTAGTTTTTAGTTTATAATTATCGTTGTTTTTTAATCTTTAGTTTTTTTGTTTTTTTACAACAACAGCATTTAAGTAAATAATTTATAATCGACTAAAAACAAATTGTTGACAGGATAAGAAGAATTACAAACGAACACGCAAAAATATTCTTTTTTTAAAAAAAACGAACAAAACCTTCGTTAATTTGCCAAAAATATGAGGAAAATGGCGCTAAAAGTTGATTCAAATTTAACGTTTGTTGTGTTCTCTAAGTAATTTAAAAAACAATCAAAGACTTCTAGTTCTACACTTTCTTCTGTCTTTGGAAAAATAGACAGATTAAATAATATCAAAAATAACACAATTGTTATCCCAAATGATCATTTCACTCACCTTTTTCGCCGAGAAGAGTAAATACAATGTTTATTGCGTCGACTTTGAAAATAATCATGAAAGCTACGTAAGCAGTCAGGGGGAGACAACTCTAATTTTTTTTCAAAGATTTTCTTTTTTTTTTAAATGCATATTTTTAAGATCACATTATTCTCAGAAGTGTAATTGAAATTAACAGATCGTGACATCTATCAGAGAGATGAAATTTAAATTTTTATTATTGCATTTTTCCAAAATTTTAACACATCATCAGATAGCTATTAATGTCAACAACTTAGCACAAATAGTTATTAATTAAAAAAAATTAGTAATTAAATGTATTATCCATAACTACATGTCATTTAAAAGTTTTAAAAATAACTAAAAAAATACGTATGTCGAAAATACCTTTTTCCACAATATAGCTATTATTTGTGCTAATGCTTATAATAATTATAATTAATATAATTTATTCAGTATTATTATTATTGCTTTTAGTTTTAAGTAATAAGTAGCTTAAGCAATAATAATACTGAATAATTTTTTAAACATTTAAATTTTAAAGTATATTTAATAATCACATCTCCCTATAGCTGCTAGCTTAGCTGTTGCGATCTGTAGACAATTTTAACAACTGTTTTAAAATCCGTACATAATTTTTCTTATAGCAAATGTTGATGTTGTTTTCATGCAAGTAAAAACAAAATTAAAAAGAAATAAAATTAAAAAGAGATGTTTTAAAAGAAATAACATTTTAAAACGAAATAATACCGTATTTAAGCCTACGCAATGATATTCTCGCTTCTTATTCTTTTTTGGGGTTTTCAACTTGTTATGATCCAGAATGATGATGGTATTTCATCATTCTAAAAAAAGTAACCTTGCCATCAGTGATGATAGAAAATAAGGATATTTCATCATCCCTAAATAGAGATTAAAAAATTTCATCATCCTAAAATAACCTTGCCATCAATGATGATAGGAAATAACGATATTTCATCATTCTAAAATCTGAAATTTCATGATTATAAAAACAACCCTTCCACCACAAGCAGTGGCAGTAGTAAAAAGGCCCAACACATACATATCCTCATCCCTTCATGAAAATCGAAAACTGACGATCTTAAACACTATCCTTCTCAATTATATTCTCAGGACAAGCAAAAACAAGTAAGTACAAACTTTTAAAGAAACAAAAGAAACAGTAACACTCACTGAGAACATTTTTAACACACACCTTACCAATATCTGTAATTCACATCTCAAAAAATGAAAAATACACATTCTTGTTGTTAATGTCAACATGTCTCAAGTCTTATTTTTGTTATCGTTGTATGTTTTTTATTCATTTTGTTTTCAGTATAAAAAGGTAAAAAGGGTTGCTCTATCAAATACTTCTGAAATACATATAACAATGGGATAACTACTATATTAACAATATGTCTACAACACCCCCCATTACAAACTTGTAGCGAATTATAATTGTGATTTTGCACTTTCATCTGGTCTAATCACAAATGTTAGTTGCTGCATAAAAGTTGTTTTTTGGTCAGTAGTATCCGGCGTGCATATTAGGAGTTTTTCAATGTTTTTCCTGACTGGCTCTCATTTGAAAAGTGTTTGTACATATATACAGTCTTGTTTCTGTTAACAGGACTTGAAAAATCATGTCGGGAAGTCACCAATTTGTAGAGGACCGTGTGGGTTTGGGTGTTGTTGAATTAGAGACACATACTGTTTATTTCCTGCTAGAAGATCCAACTACAAGAACCATGGCGAACTCAAATTGAGTCCAACCGAAGATGTAAAGAAAACAAACAAGACCGTTATATGTGTCAACAAATATATGCATTAAACAACAAATTTACAAATGACAAAGACATTAACATTTGTGTTTGTGTGTGGATATAAAGTGTTTGTTCTTTGGTGAATGTTCATACATACGTGTATGTGTGTTTAATGGCGTTTTCCCATAAGTGGGTGAAACGTGGATTTCTACGAGAGATTACATTTTGTAATCTGTCCGCTGAAATGCAAAGTGAAAAAGAGGATGAGGCAAGAAGTCGCCCAATATTTATAGTGTAGGGAGAGTGACCCCTAGTGAACAATTAGGGAATTAAGGAGGAGTTAACTCCGACAAACTCTTGTTTTCAGATCTAGTTGCATGTGGGTAAAGTGGCCCCCACTGAGACATGTTCATTTTGATGGTTTTCTCTCTCTTGATTTTTGTACTCTCTCACACACACATATACACACATGTGTCTATCACACACACTTGTTACACACATACACACATAAACAAGCACATTCTTATTATAACTGGTTTTAATGTTTTTTCCATTCATTACAGTTGTCTACACCTGTAATTCCTTTTGTTAATACATGCATTGTTTTTGTTTTTTACTGTTTTGCATTACTTTTACTTGGACTCACATTGAATCCAGCAATATTAGAGTTTGTGGGATAAATGTTCCAGGAGCCCGTAGCTATTACCTACCCAAAATGTTGATTCCTGCAACATAATGGTGACTAATATTTACACAAACATACTAATGTCCCACAACATGTACATTCCAAATGAAACAGAAAATTGTGTTACAATGCATCATAGGAACAGAAATCTATTGTAAGTCAAGAAACCCTAAAGTCTGTTTATTAGATTATAATGTGTTTGGGAGATAAACATATCCTCCCATTTCAATATAGCATAACCATGGAAATGTGTGTATGTTGTTATAAAATAAAATAAGACATATCTCGGCTGATTTACAGGCAAACACCTAAGAGCAAGAACCGGATGTGAATGGGACAAAGCCCCGTCACAAAATGACCATTAACTTTCTTTACAAATGTTTCCGACACATGTGTTCCGGTTGAAAAATAAAATAATAATTAAAGTGCTCTATTTTTCGTCCAATAAAAATGCTTCCCTCCTAATTATACTCGCTTCGTTTCTCGAGCCTGTTAAGCCAAAAAAACACACTATAAAAGGGGTCACACGGAAGTTCAACAGTCAGTCAACAGGTGGCCACAAAGGAAACCGGTCACGTTCAGCAGCTGCCAGCAGGAGAGCACCAACCACCGTCAACATGTGTGAACTACTATGAGAGATCGACCAGATCCGAAAACCGGCTTATGAACTTTACCACAAGGTAGCTGTCCCAAACCCTCACGTTCCTGTTGAAATAAACCACGTAAATCTATTTCTGCTGTTGTCGTATTTCTTTCTTGCAACCATACGCTTGTCTATAACAATGTCATTGATCACTGTTTGAAACTTAACATTTGTAAATAAAAAATAAAGTACTGATAATGCTTAATAAGAAATCAGAGATCAATTTGACACTGCAGTTATATTATTGTTATAGCATGCAGAGGCTAGGTCAGGATGGTTGGCGATTGGTCAGGATATCTCATGGGCATTGCATTCTGACAGAGATGGATTGTCTTTGTTTAGGTTTGGGATATAAGATCAAAATGACACAAAGTCAGCAGTGGGCTGCAAGAATTTTGAAGCATTGATACACTTCCCACACTCAGATTGGACAGACAAGTTAAGATCTGCATGTGGAGGGGCACTTAGCCAATGAGAAGGCACGTGTTTCCTTGATGTTCTTCCTCCTGTTGCTTCCTAGAATCAATGCTATCACATCTGTCCTTCTCCTCTAATAAAACGAATAAGAAAAGAAACTGTCTTTCATTGATTCTGTAGCATCCTGCTACCACTTTCTTACCAATGTTGAATTTTGTACATTTTTGTGCAAAAGTGGATCAGAGAGCCTACTCACTTTAGTAAATATTTTCAAGAAATATCAGCTTCTAATTGGTCAATAAACATAAAAGTGGGCATTGCAATCCACCCACATACAAATATTTTTTTCCAGCGCATGACCAAGTCAAGTTTCCCGCCATTTTCTGTGATCCTGTCATGTGATTACATTATCTATAAGTAGCAGACACAAGCTTGCTGCTATCTCTTTTCTCTCTTCTTGCTGCAAAATCTAGTCCCATTCTCATTTCAACCATGGGTGGTCAGACATTAAAATCATATTCACGCATGCACGTACATACAAACTTTTCCAAACTACATTACAAACATACAGAACATTTCCAAACAAGCAACAAGAACTCTTCTCTTTGAAACATTCTTCTAAAGCTACAGTTATTCAGTATTTCTCAGCTTTGTAATTAATTCAACTTTTGTGAGTTCAGATAAAAATATTCACAGTCTTAGGGACATAACACCAACAGATCTTTAACTTGTACACATGTACGTCAACACTCAAATAAATACAAATGTTTCTGTTTTAAAACCATTTTGTTCCTTCTTGTATTTCATGTTTTGTGGTAATTTTATGTTAAATATAAATTGTGTGGTCATGTTATTCATGCAGCCATAAAAAGACATCTACAATTATCCATTCTTATTAGCATCCTCACTACATATGGTAACCCTGATGTTTGACATGGGGCGAGAAAAACAAATAGACCACTACAATTCTATCTATGAAGTGGTGTTGGTGTCTGAAGGGCTGAAACCAGTGATGACTTTGAATGCAACATTATAAACAGGACCTGATTTCTAAAATGATAAAAAGAACCAATATTTTTTGATTCTGGCAAATTTCATGGAACATCTAATGAATACTAATCAATTTTCATGGGACATCTAATTAATACTAATCAATTTTTAATCAACAAAAATCATTCCCCCACAAAAACACTTTCCCTATATTCTACAAGCAGACTCATCAATTTAACTCACAAGTCTTGGGTAAAGCTGTGATATGGTTTTGAGGTACTCCCCAACAATGCCATGCATAAGAATCATCTCTCTAGGCCGATATCAAAAATTCCACTCTTGGCAAACCAAAAATGGTGAGATTCAAACATATGTCTCAGGGTCAAAATGCTAATATTTTGACTAATCAGCTGCACATACATTTGTCAAAATGCAGTCAAAGTTGAATGGAAATCTAGAAGGTTGGAGTGGGGATGAAAATTTGGCCTTGTAAAAATATCCAACATGTCCACAAAGAAAAAGGAAAAACAGAAACAGAAAATGTTTAACAAAAATAAAAATG